AGCCTGCCCTTGAACCCTCCCGGGGATGGGCCAGCCACAGCTTCTCTGGGCAACCTCTGCCACTGCCTCACCACCCTCACCAGGAAGAATTTCCTCCTTATAACTAATCTAAATCTTCCCTCTTCCAGTTTAAAGTCATTGCCCCTTGTCCTGTCACTCCATGCCCTTGTTACAAGTCCCTCCCCAGCTTTCTTGTAGCCCCCTTTAGGTACCGGAAGGCTGCTCTAAGGTCACACCGGAGCCTTCTCTTCTCCAGGCTGAACAACCCCAACTCTCTCAGCCTGTCCTCATAGGAGAGGTGCTCCAGCCCTCGGATCATCTTTGCGGCCTCCTCTGAACTCGCTCCAACAGGTCCATGTCCTTCTTGTGCTGAGGACCCCAGAGCTGAAGGCAGTACTGCAGGGGGGTCTCACCAAAGCAGAGCAGAGGGGCAGAATCCCCTCCCTCAACCTGCTGGCCACGCTGCTTTGGATGCAGCCCACGACACGGTTGGCTTTCTGGGCTGCCTTTGCCTTCTGCAATTTGGGTGGTGTGGCTGGAGCACTTGCCGGTGAAGACTGAGGCAAAAAAGTCCTTGGGTACCTCAGCTGTCTCCATGTCCTGGGTAATCAGGTCTCCAATTTCCTTCCAGTGAGGACCCATATTTTCCCTAGTCTTCCTTTTATCACCAAGGTACCTATAGAAGCTTTTCTTGCTGCCCTTCTTATTCCCCCCAAATAACAGTTCAAGAACTGGTTTTTTTTGTTCCAGATGCCAAAAGGTACAGATCAGCTCATGACACATCTAAACCCTTTCCCCTCAAACAGCGTGGCTGTACCAAACCTGCCTGCCAGGAGTATTCCCTGGTATGTGCTATCATCAAATGCTGCTTGAGCATCACCTGGAAGAGTGCCGTTTGTCATGGGAGAAAACCATGCCAGGGAGCTCATTAAGGGTTAAAGTGTGGAGGTGATCATCTCAGAGCTGTGCCTTAGCCTTGTTTTACTTAGGAATATATATGCAGCTGATCAGTCCTGCTGTTTTGGTTTGCTGAAATTTGATGTCCTCAGTCTCAGACTCATGACGGAGACTGGCTCAACATGTGAGGGTCAGATTCAGCTTTGTGCCCAAACATGTAGAAATTTTAGAGGGTGATTGCTGGATACAATTTCCTCTTCTGAGTTCTCCTCTGGCATTTTAAGGAATGAGCTGCATCAAATAAATGGCTTGATCTTTTGATCTAATTGTAGCAGCTCCCTTATACGGAGCAATTTGGCAGTGATTTTATTGAAACACATTAAAGGATTTTACAGCCTAGTCATAAATAGCCGTAATAGGCCACCTTTAGGTTTCAGGAGGGAAAAATACATTTTTAATGGAGCTAGGTGACTCAAGAAAAGACTGGTGACAGACTACTGTTTTGTATGAGTTATTCCATTCTAAAATAGCTGTTCATACCTATAGGAAGAACTGCTCTCTAGAGGTGCCTGTCTTTCTCTTTGGACAATGAAAGAAGACTAAATGACTAGGTTAGATGAGCTACATAACTTTTAAATAGGTAAAGCGAGCTGAGAGAAACCTCACACCAAGTCCAAAACATGGCACGTGAAGGTGCCAGTCAGTGGCTTCGCACTGGTTTCTTTCAGTTAGATGTGTTCTTTTTTTACCAGTTTCTCAGTCTTGATTTGTTCCCTTCCCCACGTGGCCACAGAAGACTGTTGAGGGTGGGTAGCTACACTGTCCTGTGGCAACCTGAGAGCTCGGGCAGCTTTTGTGGTATGAATTCATCATCTAGAGTGTTAAGTGGAATATTTTCATGATTAAATTCTAAACTAAATACAGATTTTTGAACTTCTGCTTTGGCTTTGGTTACTAACAGGCACAGGACTTGCTTGTTGATGGAAGATGAGCAAGCAGCAAAGCAGGCATATCGTAGAGCAGATGATGTATATCCCACAGAAGACCCACGGCCACAGAGCACCACTGCTGCAGATAACAAGTGTCCCCTCCTGGGCACTGTGCGGCTCAAACTACGGCGGCATATTTCCAGTCACAGTCTGTAGGGTAAGAAGGACCTTGAGGATCATCTGACTTCCAGTACTGACGAGTCTAAATTCGGTCGACTTGTTTCAGTTTGGGTTTGTGCCTTCCATTACTGCACTCACCGTGAGCCCTTTTCTGACTATTAAAGCTGGGCTATTACAGGCATGAAAATATCTTCTGCTTCAATAAACGACCGCATTGATTTAGCGTTTGTTTCTTCTTCTTTTTTTGACTTCCTACAAATACTCTAATATAAACAGGTTGACTGGATTTTGTCCAGAAACGAGTACATTTTTAGAAAATGTAAGATGAAAAACAAGTAGTAAATTTTGAATGTGTTTAAATGAGAACTTATCCTAAATGCCCAATTCAAGCAAAGGCAGTCAGGAAGGAGCCCAGAAGCATGACCAATGGATTCAGTCAAATACTAATCAACACAGCTCAGATGTCCAGTATTGAGTATCAGCTTCTTGCAACAAACAGCAAGCAATCTGGAAGCTAAGAGGGGCTTGTAGGCATTATTTGATGAATAATTTTGCCCAGCAAATCCATTCAAGAAAGGTTATATGATTCCAGGAAAGATAGAATAGCACAGGAGACAAAGTCATCAAATAAATTATTCACTCAGTTCTATTGATGACTGTATTATCAAAACAGCTAATATTCTACAGTTACCTGGATCTGCTGCAATAAATTTTTCAGCTGAACCAAAAATTCTTTAGCTTCCTTTGCTTTATCCGAGACACCATTTAAAGCCTGAGACAGCTGTGCCTGAAAAGAAAAAAAGGATGGAAAAAAAGGAAAAATTAGAGATAAAATGTAAATGTGTTTCTTACTAATCCTTGGGTTTGATGATTAATAATGTGCTAAAAGGCTTACTTGCTGTTGCATGTATTCTTAACACACAGACTGTTTGTGCTAGAAAAGAATAGTTAAGATTTTAATTGTAATAAGATTCTATAAAGGTGAAATATGCATATGGGGGCAGTCAAGTATTGTGTCTGCACATTCCAATTTACTGCAGCGACTTGGTAAGTCAAAATACCTTTTTATAAGACAGCTACCCACATATATAAGGAGATAATAGTCTTACACTTACACATTATCATCTGTCATGCTGAAAAATCCCCAAGTGCTTTCCCAAATGGCACTTTTTTTTTCATCAAAGTCTGAATTCTTTATAAATGTGGTAGATTCTACCAAACCTGAGGTACACTAGGACTTCAAAGACAAACCTGCATTTTCAGACTCCATAGCAATGTCCTTTTGGGGCTCTAGTATCCCAAGCTCCAACCTTACAAAAGGGTGACTATTTCTGGAAAATTTGGAAATAATCCTTCCTCTAGCTTTCGACTGGTGAGACACATGGAATACGTCTTTTGTAAGTCCACACTGAAGACCTAACCTCCGTTTTCCTCAGCTGGCACCCGAGATCTCTAAGCTGAACCAGAGGATGGACTCCCAAGGTGGGAAGGAAATGGCGGTTCTGCCCCCAGCAGATCCAGAACTGCCATGGTCTGACCGCAGCAGTCCTGGTGCAGCTTCCCTGGAAGCCTCGCTGGGATTACAGAAACCGTATTGCTCTGCTTGTCAGTCCAGGACAAGCCCAGACCCAGCAATACTTCTCCGTGCAGACGTAATGCTGAGTGACCAGATAGGTCCCATCGTGAGTGGCCTGCAGGTCAGAGACTCTCTTCGTGGGTCTACCCCTCAGGCGGACTTGGCAACTACCAGACTGTCAATGCCCAGTTAATTATCCCTATGAAACGGATATGACAACTGACATCAGGAAATGGAAGATGAAGTATCTTTGCTAACATCGGGCTTTCAGAAGGTTGCCGTCTCTTGTTTCCTTAGGACTAGAAGGTGCCCTGAGACAGAGCCTTGTATGTAGGAAGGCCCACTCGTTCTCTGCTTCCTTCTTGCTCCTGGAGGGAAGTAAATTCCTCCATCCCTGAAAAGGGCACAGCTCACTTCTCCAGGCTGCCAAAGTTTTGAGCTAACCTCCTGCCAGAACGTCTCCTACTCAGCCTCTCCTTGTGCTCGCTCATTCAGCTCCTTGTGAGAACTTCACCACCCAGCTCGGAGGCAGGCAGAGGCACTGCCTGACCCCACACGGCTCGCCGGGAAGCGGGTACAAACCCTGACTGGGAGCTGGGACTCAATTACAGAGAAAGAAGCCATCTTAGGTTTTTCTTTTCCTCATATTCACACAAACTTTTTCCTTTTAGCCTAGTTGTAGGCATTACATCAGTGCTAAATTTGAAAATAAAATATGCTTTACTACAACTCATTTGTAACCAATGTAATGGGAAGACACATTACTGCGTATGTTTCTCAATATTTGAATGTTTAGTGTTCTCTTACACAAACGCTTGTCACTGCACAAAAATTTAAAGCATTGATGTTTGATATGAATGCTACTTGGGGTCACAGAGGCAAACTCCAGGTCCTTGAAAGGGTCCCTATTTTCAAATGAGACAATCAGGACTTCAGACCAGGTCTCCATGGGCTGATCATGGTTGCCAGAGTTTAAAGCCCACCCTTTTTGACTGCACTCTCTGCTGCTCCATCCACAAGGCACATCTGAGATGGCAGCAGGACAAGGTGGAAGCAGCATATGACCAAGCAGCTGGGGAGGAAGCAAGAAAGAAATAGGCGGCAAAAGCATGATATGCTCTGCCATTGACTGACCCGACCAAATTGTCCCAGGGAGGCAAGGGCTCCTTTCTTTCAAATCAAAACCAACGGTTGGTCCTGACTAAAGTAAAACTTCCACTTTTCCAACATCTGCCCTAGCTCTCAAATTATCTCAAAGTGCATTTCACCAGATAAGAAGAGCCAGAAGCTGTATGTGGGCATCACAGCAGCCACAGAAAATGGAATCACCGCAGACAAATTGTAACCGGCGTATGTATCAGTGGCAATTAGCACAGTCACTCCTGGCTCCCTGCACGCTCCCATCGCAAAGCGCTGCAACAGAAACTCAACAACGTCCTTGTTCAAAGGGCTCATAAGTGAATTGCAGTGTTGGTTAAAACCTGTGGTTGCATTAATGCAACTGCAACGTGAAGCTGAGAAGACCAGATCTCCATTTGTGAAAGCCACTTAGAGATAATAGCCTTGTTTTTCCAAGCATTTGTAAAAGATACCTTACAAATCAGTGGAATTTAGTCATGCACTTCCCATTAAAATCAAATGGAGCTACATGACTAAGCCCTCAGTAAACCGACCAAGCCATAAAAAACGCCCTGTACACTCAGAGCAATCTTCCGTGCTGCAGCAATATTTACTGGAAGCCAAACTGAAATGTTACAAGCTCCGTTGGCTGCGACAATTAATAACTCCTGACAAACGGTATTCTACCTGGCGTTATCTTTACTTCAATAACTGGTCTTGCAACCAATAATGTGGATGCTGGAGACGGATACCAAGTTTCTACTTCTATCAAATACAGGAATAGAGAGATAACAAGGGTGAGTAATTAAACCCAGATGGGCATGGAAGACTGATGCTTCCTTTGATTTTAGAAAATGAACCAGATAATGCCCATGTCCTTTTTCAACCAAACAGCTCATGCTCATTTAACTTGTTTTCCCTCCATCTCTCTTTAGCAGCAGATTAACTATCGATTAGATAAGCTTGCCCTGGCGCTGCATTCTGAAGCAGTCCACATGTTTTTGGGAACACAACTCTTTAGGCCAGCAAATAAAAGCAGGCATTTGGACCTCAACACTTGCCTTCAACCGCCTGCTTGCCTGCCCTTCTTTTTTCAGCATTTCAGTATAAATATATATATATGTGTATATATATATACATAAAAAACACCATTTCGAATGGGCAGAGCTGAAATGTGTCCACCATCGTTCCTCGTATTGGTAGGCCAAATGCCTGCCAACTTAAATCTGACAACAGTATCACTGTTCTTGCTATGAAGACATAAAAGGACTTAACTTCGGCAGAAGACTTACACAGTTTTGCTTAATAACCTTAAACTGCTGGTCCAGATGCACTTTTCATGTAAGTCAATATAATAAAGTCCAGCTAAGTCAGTGGATTTTCACAGATTTATGCCATTGGGGCCCTGTTGTTATTTTACACCATTTTTAATTTCTCTATAGGAGGAGCTACACGCAGCGGCATAATGGGGAACGTGCAGGATTTACCGGGGCCAACCCGTCTAGTATGGCTTTCATGCCAGCAGTACAGCTGAGGGTAAACGCACATTTCATTGCATGGTCTGCAGCACTGTACGGACAAGGTTATACACTCCGCAATTTGCTGCTAGATCACGATATAAGGCCCAGATGAAGGAGAAGTCAAAGAGTTTGAACAAAAGGGTAATACCGAAGTGGAATGGAAATAGATCCTGAAGCTGAAGGCAGGCTGGGCCCCTGGAAAAGCAGTTTTACAGTCAGTAGAAAAAAAAATGTTTGAAGTTTGCTGTTGTGGGTTGAAACTGTGTCCTGAGAGGTGGGGAAATGGCTCTGGCAGCCCTTCTTAGGTGAGGAATCCCAGCCCCTGGCCTTAGAAGGCGATAAGCAGGTGCTTATCAGCTGATGGTGAACAACTGTCAAATTTACCGGGCTACGAACGCCTACGGACAAGCCCTTCCAGCTGCCTCTACCAGCCACGCCTGGAGAATCCAGAGAGAACACATAAATCTTGAATTACGTCTGGCATACCACTCGATGCAAGTAATCTATGATTTGGCCAAAGTAACGACAGGTAATAAACTTGTAGAAATTGCTGTACCGGAGAACTATTTCTAAGCAGAAGTATCTAATTCCAAAACAATTTATCTGAATGAATGTGAGCTGATGATTTAGGCTGTCTGGTTATATGGTTCCATTCTATTTATTTTCTGCCAAGTGCATTGTTCTGGGAAAAAACAATATTCAGAAGAGCACAATTTTAGAGTCCCCAAATTAGTTAATTCTGAGTATTTTTTTTCTTTTGTTCGAATTTTCACATTGATCGAGCCTGTAAATCAAGAGAAAAATCACTTCTACCTCAGTCCCAGAAAAAAATGCAGTAAAAATACAAACCACCAGGGTACTGTTCATTCTTTTGACAATATTTGACAGTAGGAAAGAGACAAAATTGCTGACTCTGAGCTTTGATTACACCGGACTTTATCACATTGTTCAAAAAGGCATTAAACTGAAGTAGACCATAATATAGCACAAGCTGGTCTCTCACACTCTCCAAAACATCAGCCACACTTGAACAGTGAACTCACGCCCTGCTCATGAAAATAATTCTGCCCAGAAGTGGATTCTGCCATTGGCATAAGCAGGAATAGCTGCGAATTTGTAATCTGCTCCTTCTGGGCCAAGGGAATTTCTCCTCTGCACAAATGCGCGTCGTGTTAGGGCGGAGATGGCTGAGCCCTCGGCAGAGAGCTCAAACTGAAACACGTCCCAAAGAAGTTTGTCTTTCTCAGATGGACAAACTATGCAGATCACCCCAAGGGGCATCTTTTCTGAATCTGAAAATCACAAGTAAATTTTTTGCTTTGCCAAATGTCTTAGCCTAGCTTGTGCTCAACCACTTCATGGCTGAGGGATGATGAGACTCGTCTTGATTTTGTCCTCTCCTGATGTGTCTGAAAGGATCTCTCGGTGCTTCCTTTACTGCTAACTGCAGCAAAGAGTGAGAAGAAGGGAATCCTGCAGCCACGGCGATGGGGGAAGTCCTCTCCCCCCAGCACAGCAGGGAGCTCCAAAAGACTGCTCTCAGCACTCAGGCATTAAGATCCCCTCTGTACG